CCATACTACTGTTGCATGATTAAAGGTTTGCTTTGAGCTCTGTCTAGGGGATGACATCTCCATCTGGTTCAGGGTAATTGTCTGGGGATCCACAAGAGCATAGTCTCTAGCATACTATGAACATTGAAGAACAACATCCTCAAAGCTATTATTTTATATTGATTTTGTTCCTCCTTCACTGACTCTTTCATATTCCCAGGAGGGAAAATATATATATATAGAAACAGATTTCCTTTTAAAGATCTTCATTTCAGCACCCTGTCACCTCTATTCCAAGCTGACCTGGACACAGTAATACCTAAGAGACCTCTCTCTGCTGAATTAGTCTCTTGTGACTTAGAAAGCACTGCCTGAGGTTTATTGAGAGAACTGCTTGCAGAAGAAGCCCTGTTTGGATGGCTGGACAATGGCAAAGGCTCCATGTCTTCCCATCAGCCAATACCTCAATGTTTCCCTAATAATAAATTTTTCAAGGTGTGAGCTTTTATGTGCACGCACCTTGAATAAAAGCTCACACCTTGAATAAACCTTTGTTGTTCTTAAAGGTGCCACTGGACTCTAACTTGGTTCTATTGCTTCAGACCAATATGGCTGCCCACCTAAAAAAAAATAAGTATTTTTATTTTGGAACATTGTATACAACAGTACAACATTTATAACACATATTTACATCGTACATTGTTTTTTCTTAACCTTCAATGACCCTTTTACTCCCATATGTCTGTTCAATCATATATGACTCAAATTGCTTTAATATGATTTAGAAATATATCAGATCTTTATAGTATTTATTGTTAGGAATGACTCCTGCTTTGATCAATATTTTGTACAGCAGTCAGAGAATGAACTCATGCTTCTAATGCATCAGGTTCTCAACTGAACAACATGGGGCTGATGAGATTCAGTTTTTTTATGCAAGGTACACTGACTGGTTGCACAGCAAGACAGAAGAGGGAGGACACATATGGTGAAATGAAGACACTGGGTTTGTTATCTTGAGATAAAAATCCTTGGATTTTGCTCATTCTTTGAGATTTTTCATTGGAATAGTTATTGGGGAGTTCAAAGAATCAAGAGTTCTTTACTTATCTCACTGTTAATCTGCAAACAAATGAGTGCTGAAACAATATCAGGTTATTATCTCTGGTGGACAGAGTTCACTGCCACCACTGCCACCACTACTATCAACGGTGGCAATACCATCGTAGTTGGAGTGCCCTTGGAAATTCAGCTATAAGAACTATGTGACAATGAGAACAGTGGATGGGTTCGGGCTATTTCTTGGACAATGGTCCCCAATTGGGGGCTGCTGGAAGTCATTGTAAAACAACATAAGACCATCTGATAAAAGGAAGCACTTTATTGTCATTATTAACTGTAATGTTTTGATTATATTTTAAAAGTTTTATTGGTTTTATGTATGGGCTATGCCCCCTTTGTAAGCCGCCCTGAGCCCGCTTGCGGGGAGGGCGGGGTAAAAATCTTCAAATAAATAAATAAATAAATAGAAACACAGCAGGGGGAAGAGACTAGATACACAGCAAAATTGTGTGGCTTAAATGCTTTAGGATTTTTTTGTACCTGTTGGTACCTGTTTTTTCCTTTTGGATGCATTACCAGAAATATTTTTTTTAAATGGGGGGTGTCCAAAACTCCCATCTGCACATCTATGAGGCTTTTTGCATGCACACTTACTTACTGCAGTGTGTGCAGCCACCATTAACATGGGGTTCAAATGATCAGTGTACTTATGGGCTCCAAAGGAAACATGACCCAAACTTCACACATGAACAGCACTGATTGAAGTGATGCTTGCCTGTTGTGTACCCACCAAAAAAGGTCAAGCAAGAGTTGTGATTTTTCAGGATTTGGGGGGGGAAGCTGAATGCTAATGGGTCAGCAGCTTTTCAATTGGCACTGTAGATACACTTCTGTTCATAGGAATATCAGTCATTGGAGGAAACCAGAAATGGCTGAGCAGAGGTTTTTTTTAACCCTTTCATGCTGCAGGTACTGTTGCAGTGGGGAGATGGATTTTTGTGGGAAAACAGTTACTAGTAGTGTGCAGTTTGCTCATCATCAGGGGTCATTTCGCAGAAAAACAGCTGCAGGAACTCATTAGCATACCTTATTAGCATATGCCACACCCCCTGACATCACCGGAGGTGTGCACCAGCCCCTCTGACAGGCAGAAGCACCTGGGATCCATTCTTTCCCCCTCTCCCTTCCCTTCCCTTCGCCTCCAAGTCGGGCAAAGGAAAAGGGGAGGGGGAGGATCTCAGGCGCTTCTGCCTGACAGAGGTGCTGGCGTGCCCACAGCCAGCCTGGGTGAATTATAGACTCATAGACTCATAGAGTGGGAAGGGACCTCCAGGGTCATCTAGTCCAACCCCCTGCACAATGCAGGAAATTCACCAATACCCCCCCAACACACCCCAGTGACCCCTGTTCCATGCCTAGAAAATGATTTTTAAAAACCCTCCAGGATCACTGGGGGCCAAACTGGCCTGGAGAAAAATTGCTTCCTGGCCCCAAAGTGGCGATCAGCATTTCCCTGGGCATGTAAGAAAGGGCCACAAGAACTAAGCACTGATGCAACCCTTCCTGCTCTACCTCTCGTGATTTGCCTAAGTTCACACAATCAGCATTATGATCCTTTTAAAGTTGAAAGCATGATATAAATGCAAAGGACTATTTGTAAGATTATCTGTAAGACACAAGACCAGGACGCATCTCACTTCTGGCAATCACTAGGAGAGATCCTATCACTCAGCTTCCATTGCCCCACACACACCCCACACTGGAATAAGAACATAATATCAGACCATAGCACATTGCAATAAAGTCCCTACAACTGTATACAGAAATACTGAGCTTCCCTACCATTTGCCACAACTAGCCCACCACACAACCAGGATCAAGACTCCTAAGTGGACCAACAGACAGGCATACACTCATTTGAGAAACTGAGTATTACATTACAACACCTCTGGAACATTACAGATCAGTAGAGGCAGCACTGCACAGTGGTCAGAGTTGCAGACTGACGTGGGGAGACCCAGATTTGTATTCTCACTCTGCTGGCTGAGTGACCCCGGGCCAAATCTCCCCTTCTCTACCTAACCTACCCCACAGGGTTGTTGTGAGGATGAAATGGAGACTCATGGGCAGGGTCCCCAGCTTCCCTGGCAGGAACACTATGTTAAGAAATCTCTCACAATTATGCAGCCATAGCAGGCAGGAGGAAAGGAGG